TGGTTATCTGATGCAATCTGATCTTGATTTACTCTGTAGGAGATGACCTATTTCTGTACCACTTTCTGTTTAGATTTGAGTTATTTTTTGTATCTAGTCCATAACAAGAGTTTCAGCTTATAAAGCTGGTGCTTCCCAAGTTAGTTCGTAAGAAGATATATATTATTTTTGTGAAGTAAAGAAAGTATTTTAAAGTCATAAAAATCTCCTAAATATTACTTCTTCATAGAATTTTAACTCTCTTCCATTCATACTTATATTACAGACAGAGCGAGGAAACTGTGCAATGTTACTGCAAGGCCCTTGGGCACACATATTACAACACAAGCCATAATTAACTTATCACACAATATTTTTTTTTCCGCATCACTCTGCCAATGCACAGAACAAAGAGAGCTTGAGGTTAAAACATAAATGCTGTGAAGAAAATTTGGTTTCCCTCATTTGCTGCAGAGATGGAAGGTGCACTGTGAATAAGGATAGGGACTGCAAGATGAGAAAGCAGCCTCGTGGTTAAAGTGTCAGGACTGTTGTCAGGAGAAAGGGTACAATCCCTACGCCACCACAGAACTTATATATGATGCAAGCAAGTTACTTAAAGCTAATAAAAGCTCATTAAGTATGGACTTCACATTTTCTGGGTGCTCAGCCTAACACCTTCAGATTTGTGTCGCTGAAGTGTTGAGCACTTAAAGCTACAGTGGAAGTTACACTTCCAGCCCCTTACCTCTTCTCAAATGTGCAGTGACTGGGACTATTGGTACCACACACGTCAAATCAGGCACCTAAAGTAATTTCAACAATTTATTTTTCCACTGTGCCTCAATTTCTACATCACCTCCTTTCAAAGCAGCGTTTGGAAAATACAGAAAGTTTATGAAAGAGTAGGAAAGCACTCTAGGAGCATGAAAAAACGTTTTCAAGTCATTTAATAGTCTCCTTCAGAGCAGAGCTTCCAGGGCTATCGAATAGCTTGGTTTGGCCTTCAAGAGGGTCACGACCAACCAGAGGCTTTTCAGAGCTTGCTGGCTAGTCCAGAATAGCACAGGGCATTAAAAAGATAAGGCAAAAGACCAGAGCAAAGATGAGATAAAATATGAGTTAATACAAGTTCATTATATTGTGGATTTGGGTTAATTTACTTGTTATTGGAAAACAGCTAGTGACGTGATCATGAGCGTCATTTAGGTAGTGATCATAAGCGTCATTTAAATTTTGTGTATTGAAAAGTAAAAAACCAAATATTATTATCAAACAATTATTCATTACCACCATGTGTCATCTAGAAGACAAAGCCTAGCTATGACTAGCATTAGTAACATATCTTCAGGATTTAACACAACTTTGTCCTCTACGAGAGAACCATTTGAAATCTATACAGCTTCTAATATCTCTTATTTTAGCAGATGTGTACATTAGCTGAGATTTTATAAAAAAGTGCAAGTAAAAGTTATGCTAAAATGGCATAAAATTTGAAAGTACTCATCAAGAATATAGGTCAAACTACTTAGTTACTTCAAATTCAGGCATTATTAAATTAAAATGTAAATAGGTAGATGAGTGTGAATGCATACGGAATCCAAATCTGTTAAGATTTTGAAGCAACCTAAACTCTGCCCTGCAGGCAGCTGATGAAGAGGAAACTGAAATGTGTGCTGTGTATCATACACACCGCACATTTCCAAATTACTCACCACACCCCTACCTGGCAAAAAGCCAGCATGATCCCTACATAACCTGGAGTACGATTTATGAAACACCTTTTGTATTACAGTGCCTGACACTGACAAAGCCCCAGCAGTTTGGCAACTGGCTGGTCTCCAAGAGGAGTTGTGCAGCAGGAAAAGGAGGGGCTGCCCGGCATGGTCTCTTGTGCATGGTAGTGTGAACTGGCCTCCTTCCACACACCTTTCTTCCAGCTCAACCCCAAGCTGCCCTTTGCTGCTAGTTTGTGGTCATTTCACTGATCGGGAGTAAGAAAAAGGTACATATTGGAATAGTAAAATAGCAACAGAGTGAGCAAAATCGCTGTGCCTAGATTGCTTTTTGAGGGGAAACTGGAAGCCAGTTTCAGGACCAGATTCAATCTGGATTCAGCTTTGAAATGAAAGAGACCATCATCTCAAGTATGAAGGACCTTATATGCAGAAACAGATCACGCAGCTTCGTGTACTATATATGCTTGGAAAGGTTGTTCAGCCCTATAGCTATTTGCAGAAGCTAGAAATTCCAGACAACACCTGGAATGATCTCCATGCCTGGCTATGAAGACCAGAGGAGTCTTAGAAGGAAAGATTGGACCACTAGAGTTGGGCAATGGTCGCTGTTAAACTGTAGCTATTCTGGATTAAAAAAAAAAAAATCAGAGAAAAAAATTTGGGAAGCAGGTTATTTGAGTCGCCACAAGTATTAATTTTAAAATAGTTCTGTGTAATATGAAGAAGATTTGCTTCAGTTTAAAAAAAAACATGTCTAGGAAGTAACTTCTGGAAGTAACTTCTAGAATTGCTTGTTTCCTTATAACCCAGCTGGCAAAACCTGGCAGGGATGGCTCCACCACTTTTGGAACTTTCGATAAAAAATATCATTGCATCAGCAATGTCTTTCCCAGCACAGGTGCATTTGCCCTATCAGCCTTTTTATATGGATAATAGAAAGTGACAAGTTTTCTGTCAGAGTTGTGGCAAAGAACCTCAACAACTCAGCTGCAAGTAAATTTCTGAGGTGGAGCTCCAGGCAGCTTTTACAGCTCACACAAGCTTTTTGAAAAAGAAAACTGGGCAAGAATTTATTACAATCCCAAAGGTAGCAGAAACTATTAAAAACAACTATTAACTACAAATACAGATGCCCTAGAATAGATATCGGTTACATTCTGCTTATCATTCCTAATAATGTTGATTATTTTTGCTTCCACTAACATCAATGGCTTCTCAAATTATTTTTTCTTTATTTCATTTAAAGAAAATAGTTGTGGCTGCTACATTCTGGAATACCAAAAAGATAGCTATTTCTAAAGAATATTTATTAGAATTATATTAAAGAATTTGGATGATGAAATCATGGAACGGTTAGAGCTGGAAGAGACCTTAAAGATCATTAAATTCCAACCCCCCTGCCATGGGCAGGGAAACCTCCCACTGGACCAGGTTGCTCAAAGGCCTGTCTAGCCTGGCCTTGGACATCTCCAGGGATGGGGCATGCAAGCTTCCCTGGGCAACGTGTTCCAGTGCCCCACCAGCCTCACAGTAAAGAATTCCTTTCTGGTATCGGATCTAAATCTCCCCTCTTCCAATTTAAAACCATTACCCCTCGTCCTGTCCCTACACTTCCTGACAAAGAGTCCCTCCCCATCTCTCCTGTAGGCCCCCTTCAGGTACTGGAAGGCTGCTATAAGGTCTCCCTGGAGCCTTCTCTTCTCCAGGATGAACAACCCCAACTCTCCCAGCCTGTCCTCATAGGAGAGGTGCTCCAGCCCTCTGAGCATTTTCGTGGCCCTCCTTTGGACCTGTTCCAACAAGTCCATATCATTCCTGTGTGGAGGACTCCGGAGCTGCATGCAGTACTCCAGGTGAGGTCTCATGAGAGCAGAGCAGAAGGGCAGAATCACCTCCTGTGACCTGCTGGCCACACTTCTTTTGATGCAGCCCAGGTTGCGGTTGGCTTTCTGGACTGCCAGTGTGCACTGCTGGCTCACATCGAGTTTCTCATCCACGAGCACTCCCCAAGTCCTCCTCAGGGCTGCTCTCTAGCCATTATCTGCTCAACCTGTATTTGTGCTTGGGATTGCCCTGTCCCAGGTGCAGGACCTGGAATAATTCTTGCCAGAAGAGCAATTTCCTGAGGTGTAATAAAAACAGTAGCACTTGATATTAAATATTTGTGCTTTAGATTCATAAGTAACCTAGTATGGAACTTGATACAACCACAATAATGGACATCAATTTTTTGTGTCTGTTTTGTAGAAGCATATATTTTTAAAATGGCAATGAAAAGAAAACAAAGAAGCTAGTCTACAGTCTGCCTCTTCTGATGGACAATACAAAAGCCAGTTGCACCTCTGTTCAAAAACTTAGACTTGCAAGCAAGACGTCACACATTTATAAACTGGAAATATGTTTCACCATATTTGAAACTTCTGGTGAATGACATGAATAACACTGTGCCAGGAGAAAGAACATACTGTCCCTTAAGTGGAGTCTGGGCAATTTTATATGAAATTTTTTTAAGGAGGAGAGAGGGAAGAAATATCCCAGTGTATTCAAGAAAACAGGGTTTTTACTTTTTTACACTCAGCATGTAACAGCGTATGAATTGACTGTTTTTCCTTCAGTTCATTAAGTGACGTAAGATCAGCATTAAAAAGTACCTCTTATCTGAAAAAAAAACCAACCCTGTGTCATCTAGAAGGAATGCTTGCAGGACCTGGAAATTGTACTCAGCTTTCCTGCAAGAGTCCTGAAGAGTCAGGAGCAGTGCCCAAGACATTTTTGTATCTGTTTAATGTTGAGTATGTACACTCCTAGTCACCCTGCATACAAATTTGTAGCGGACTGATTAACAGCCCAGCATGGTTCAAGCCCACAATCTCTTCCAGAAGATGATGTTCAGCTCCACACAGAGATTTTTATTATCATCCCCTCCGTTTCACAGCCAACAGACAAATGCAGCTATATTGCCATTTTGGACCAACCACTGCCTTCATAGCCAGTTGCAGTAGGGGAAAGTTGAAATTTTCCATTACCGTTTTCAGAAATACTACTCATTAGCTGTTTTTCAAATGAGATAAAAAAAGTGATATTTTATGTGAAATGAATACCAAATAGCTAAAAGAAACAATCTCTTTTGTCCCCCTGTTATTCGTAAGACAAACTATTCATTCGGCCTACTGCAAACATCACTACCTCTGTAAAGCTCATACATAACCATTTCAATTTACTATTTCTGCTAGAATACAGAGATAGTGTCAGTGAGGTTAGGGGAGGTGTATCTGCACATACCTTCTGTCTGTAGGATACAGCTCCACAGTAATGACATCTAGTGAGTTCCAGGCTGAGATGGTGAGGCCGTTGTAGAGGCACAGCATACCTATCATCATGGACTCACTGGTTCCAAACCACAGGAAAAAACAGCTGATGCCAGAGAGAACCATGGAACCACCTAGGTACGAGACCAGTGAAATGAACATGAAGTGGAGCTGTATTTAAAGAATCATTGTTTTGTCTAATGTTTCTGTACACACAGTGTAGCTAAATAATCGACCCATATATTTTAATTAAAAACTAGAGACCTCCTCTACTGGAGGAGACCAGTCAGGCAGACAATTGTGGTAAGGGTCTTAAAAAAAAACCAACCAACAACCCATAATTCCTCAAATATTAGGATATATCATAAAGTATTAAGCTGGAACCCCCTATGAACTCTCAAAGAATGCTGCCTGGGATGAACTACCCCCATTCTTCCTTGTTCATCATATTCTGCAATTACATAAGACTCATTCATATATTGTAGCAATAAAAGCACTGAGTGGGAATTGCATTTATATAGAGATATTCTCCTAGAAAATGAATAAAATTAACTACCACATAGCTATATAAGCAAATTGAAAACAGAGTTGTCATTGCAGGTAAGCCACAAGAGATCTGTTTCAACAATGTTACTTTGCAAAACAGCTAACAGGCAAAGGACTGCTGACTCCTCTGGGGAGCTGCTCCACTAGCTGAGGGCCACCTGTGCACATCTTGCTTTTCTTTTGGCTGGTGCAAAGCCAAGCCAACGGTCAGCACTCTCCAAAATATCATCCCAAATGCCTAAGTAAGGGTCTTGTAATATCAGAGCAATGACTGATAACGAAGTACAGCAAAACTTGTTACAGAATACTTTCTTCCTAGAGTTTCTAAATTGGGGGTTTTTTAAATGACAGTTACGATGCCACATAGATGAAATATCTGCAGAAGGAATGTTTTGTACTTCTCTGAATTAAATTTTTTAGAAAGTGAACATGCTACTTTATCAGGAGAGCTTCAGGTTTTGGTGGTGGTCCCTGTTTTAAAGTGAAGCTCCTACCTAGCATCGTTAACCGTCCAATCCTATCCATCAGAAGAGCAGACACAATATTTCCTGGTAACACTGCCAGAGTTCCCAGGAAATTAACAAAGTAAATCCAGTAGGCACTGTAGTCATCATCGAAAGAAATCTGGCATCCTGTCCTGATGTGGAAAAATGTGCAATTTATCAATTCGCTGTCAACAAATTTATATTGCTCAAGATCTGTGGAAAGAAGAAAAAGAAACATTTCAGCTAACAGCCGATTCCATGTGCAGCTTTTGATTAAAAACATTCCAAGTTTAGGCAACTTTAATAACTCGGAGCTTTCACTGTTTCATGAAATGGGACCAGTTATTGCTGTTAATTTTGATACCTTTTTATCTTAATAGAAAAATATGCAAAGCTCATGAAAAAGAGCAACTAAGGCCTGGAATTAGGCAAGTTATATCACTGTATTTCAACTCTGCTTGGACTGTATTTGGTTAAGACATTTCAGCACCAGCTGGCCTTGCATAAAAAGCACTGGGTATCTGCAAGTTTCTATCACTAGGCCTCGCTTGGTATCAGATGTTCTATTTCCACACCAGACAGCCTTTCAGATGAGAATGGTGATCATGCTCAGTTGGGTTTGACGTCCTTTAAAGTGAAACATTCATACAGAATTCAGATTAATCATTTCTGAAAAGGTCTCATGGTCTTCAGCTCTAACACAGATGAGTTGCAACATGCAACCCATTCAGGCCATTCTTTTCCAATACAGTTTTGGAGATCTTTCCCTATAGCTCCACTTTCTTTCCGTTCCTCTTCTCAGCCTTATAACCCTGATTCAACAATACCTTCCTTCCACACAAAGAAAGCTGAGTGTTGCTGGCTCTGAGACTTAACTCCATTGCTATTATGATTGCTGGAGTTATGGGAAAGCAGGAAGAAGTGCCCCATCTTTCCAACAAGCTTAGTTGGCCATGTCCTACTTTCAGTTCTATTTTATTAAACTGAAAAAAACCCAACCCTATCTTTTTAAACATACGAAAATATGCATTTTTGTTACAGGACTTAGGAGAGTGGAAATGACTACAGTATTAGGTAGTTTGAATACTGAACTCAGATTCCCATGCCACAGCAAGCACAATGAACAAAGTGTTTCACCAGTTCCACTTAGACTAAATAAAAATACACTAAAGCCACCAGTAAAGCAGTAAATATATTTTCTCCTCTCCAGTCCCAGTCCCTCTTTAGAGATGTTTATTATCTGAGTCAATATTAGGCTTGTTATATTTCTAGTGCAGGTGTGATCCTCTCACTTTACTATTAAATCATTACAGAGGCCTGTTGCTTTTTATAGCTTTTTATTTCCTAGAAGAGGACTTCTTGTATGCCTTATTAGAAATCCAGAAATTATAAACACAAGAGGAGAACATATAGCTAAACAATGGATGTTCAGGGTTTGTCTTGTAATACCTGTGTTGTAGAAAGTGGTATTGATGAAAGTACAGTTCCTGAAGTACGTGTTCAGTGAAGTAATGTCTTCAAACACACAGTTCTTAAAAAGTGAATCTTCGAAGGTTACTGATTTAAACTTCATCATAATAAACCTGCACAATATAAATAATTTCTGTCAGTCTGCCTTCATAGGCAAGAAAGAGCAACAGATCAAGCTGATGCAGATATACAGGTCTAAAAAATCTCAACCCTAGTAATAATGATTCCTTAAAGGCGTTCTGGAAACATAATTAATAATTAACTGATTCTAAAATACTATAGTTCAGAAAACACATTAATAAGACAAATAGCTCCACATAGCTACCAGCCACAACTGGTAATACAATTTCACTAGCGTTGTAAAATCACTATTACTTCTAATTTGACATTACAGTCAGAAAATGGGAGATCATGCTTCAGAAACTCAGTCTCTTGAAACAAACGAACACCTGCTAGTATCAACAAGCTGGAAAGAAATAATTTTTTAGGAACCTTTATCTCTCTAGACGAGTGCACTGGGCACTGTGTCAGGCTCAAATGCAAAACATACTGGTCCAAGTGTTAAAAAATAGTTTTACAAAATGGTTTAACATAAACACAATTACATTGCTAGTTTTACAGCCAAATATCTAACTGGAAGTATGTGTTTGTTTCTCCTGTGTCTGTGGATGCAGTTACAATTACTGTGTACATAAAATAGGTATGAACAACTTGCCAGTAGCTTTTCTTATTTCTGAACATTCTCCTTCCTATTAACTCTCATTTAACTCCTAGGTCTTTGATCATGACTGTCAATCAAGTTATTCACGGGAACAGTCAATGGCAAAGTGTATTACTAGCAGTAACTTTCTACCTAAATGTTACTCAACTAAAACAATGTTGTAAACCTTTGTTAGTATAATTCTACCAAATAATTTCATTATACTAAAAAAAAAGACAGATAGAGAAATACATCATTATTTTTGTGAATTTTATTATTTCACATAAAGGCTTGGGACAAGCTACTACTAAAAAAGGGCAGTTTTTCTGGCAGACTTTATGCAAACTGGTAACAGTTTGGAAAGCTGTGCTTTAATTGTTAAAAGAAAGCCTTCTGAACACAGACCTGGCTCTGCTCTTCTTTAACCTGGCGTGACCAGCTAAGTATTTTTCTTATTACAAGAATCATAGTAGGAATAGGAACACACAAAATACTCCGTGTATGAAACAATAGAATTTAAACTTGCTTGCCAATAAAGTTGTTGGAATCACATCTTTATGAGAAAAGAGAGCAAAAGTTAATTGATTTTATCACAGGAAAAGACTTACTAGCTAATGAATTCTGTTTGTGTATTGGTCAGAAGAATAATGTTTTCAGCCCATTAGTTTTAGTTACTATATCATTTCTCATTTGTGACAGACTCTGATTCAAATCAGGCTGGCATTCAATGTCAACTGATTATCATTTTTCATATAGTTCTTTCCACTTTAAAATACAACATAATTCCAGAGGAGAACAAAGAAAATTTAGCAATTAGATTAGTCAGTTGGAACAGAAATGACCGACTATGTCTCATGCATTCCTCTGATGCACTTCTTATCTTTGGACAGGAAACATGTTGTGACTATATTAAAATTGGTGTTGCAATGATTTGAATTAAAACCGACCAGAGATGCACTGAAGTAAAAAGTCAAGTGTTGATGGATCTTCTAGTTGAAAAAGAACATGAAGGAAACCCTGAGATCAAGGGTGAGTGGAGTATTGAAATGTTTGTGGAGGAAGAATATAAATGAGTTCATACTTTTGTAGAAAATGTTTTGTGAACCTCAAACAACTGTCAGAGGCCTATTAAATTTGCACATTTAAAAGAGTAAATCAGTGTTTTAGAGTTAATTAATGTTAGATTTACTGTTCTACAAGAATTTTCAGTTCAAATGAGTAAGACCTTGATTGACAGAGTGCTATTAGTTACTGACAATGAACTGTTCTTTGCTTTTAGGAGAATATCTGTCTCCTGGAAAGGAGTGGAACCGGGAAGCTGTGGCTAGTTTAAGAAGGAGGTAACTGCTATTTTTTTGTCTGCAAGGCATAAACCTTTAACTGTGTCAAAATTCAAGTTCTTAAAAAAATAATTTTAAAAGCCCCATATTACCAACATCATTAATTTTATTCACTTAGATACAGATTTTCCTATGGAAATAATAATTACTTAGACCCGTGACTTCCAGGAGACCAGTCACATGGTTGTTCTATGTATTTCTTAAGAGAAACCAGATACCTGAAACAGCTGTGTTTAATTTTCCGGTGTTATTTAGTTATCTGTAAAGTCCAGATAGAGCTTTAATATATTTGGATTCAGTTAAAAAATACAAAAGGCATTGCCAATGTGTTCTTTCACATTTCAGAGCTGTTCATACTTTTTATAGATTTGCAGTAACGTTTAGCCTTGATTTTTCTGTGACAAAATCTTAAACTCTCAGTGTTCAGGATCTTCACAGGCGCATCTTTCCTTCATAGGAAAAAAGCCAGCTACAGAGATGAAAGTATGTCCTTCCCTGGCCCCATACAATATGTCGCATGTGTTGGATCTGAAAACCTTTGAATCCCACTGTGAAAGGAAGTATCATTAACTTGGGCTTTTAGGTCTGTTTTTCAGGATGACAAGGAAGCTGGGTTTGCATGAAGGATCCTCACAAAGGAACCACCAGGAAGGAGGAAAACATCACATTATTAGGACATGCTTTAAAACATGCAGTTGTCTATTCCAGCCAAGTCAGGATATTAGGAAATCTCTAAACCTGTCATTGATGTACTCTCCATTGCTGTGAATCTGATTTTCCAGTGTGAAGTTGAAGACGAAATGGGAAACCTCCTCATTGCGGAAATGTTTCACTCGGGATGCGTACTCGTCTGACTGCAGATGTTTAATGACGTCGGGAAACCAGACAGATAAGCCATAGTAGCTGTGGAGAACAGAAACAATTCAGTTGACAATCTCATTTGTTCTGAAATCTGTGCAAGATGAGGAGGAGCAGCTCCCTCGGCTGGTTATGTGACAGAGCAGTTGCTCCGTCATAACAAAATCCTCCACAAAATAAAAATATTGTAGGATGCTGATACCAGAAGATGCCAGTTTTCTGAAGCAGATAGTCTTGATGAGTCAGGCTTGCAACCAAGAACGGACTAACTGATAAATATAACATTTTGTGGAAAGATATTGAATAAAACCTTTCCAAATAAAAAGGATAATCATACTGACAGAAATTTGCATGCAGATGATTCTTCTGTCTGTCAAGTCTATCAAAAATGTTTTAAGATCTCAACCACTCTTACCCAAAAGACAGGGTGAACCATACAGCAGTAAGTTTGATTGTATTATCCTTCACCGGGTAGTTGAAGCATCTCATAAACGTCAACCAAATCTGTAAAACATTAGGAGAAATATTTATTTTAAATTGTATTTTGAACAATTTATTAAATGATAGAGGGTTTTTGATGGGGATTTGCTTGCTTCTTCAGGGCATCAGGGAGAGCAGATCAGCTCTTTGATAGTGTCCATAGCTGTACTTCTCATGTAACTATGTTAGCCTCCAGCTATTGCCAGGTTGTGCGTGTCCTGTGACTTTCTGGCTTCTTTTCATAGACTCATAGAACAGTTTGGATTGGAAAGGACCTTTAAAGATCATCTAGTCCAACCCCTCTGTGATTAATAGGGACGTCTTCCACTAGGTCAGGTTTCTCAAAGCCCTATCCAGTCTGGCCTTGAACACTTCCAAGGATGGGGCATCCACAACTTCTTTGGGCAACCTGTTCCAGTGTCTCACCACCCTCACAGTAAAGAATTTCTTCCTAATATCTGATCTAACCTCTTTCAGTTTAAAACTGTTACCCCTCCTCCTGTCACTACAGGCCTTGGTAAAAAGTGTCTCCCCAGCTTTCTTATAGGCTTCCTTTAAGTATCCAAAGGCCTCCCAGGAGCCTTCTTCAGGCTGAACAACCCCAACTCTCTCAGCCTGTCCTCATAAGAGGGATGGTCCAACCCTCTGATCATGTTGGTGGTCCTCTTCTGGACCCATTCCAACAGCTCCATGTAATTTCTGTGTTGAGAACTCCAGAGCTGGACACAGTACTCCAGGTGGGGTCTCAGCAGAGCAGAGTAGAGGGGCAGAACCACTCCCCTAGAACTGCTGGCCATGTTTCTTTTCATGGATATAATTGGCTTTCTGGACTGCAATCACACATTGCCGGTTCATATAAATTTTTTTATACCTCAGTGTGGACTGTGTCCAATAATTCACCCTTGCTCTGGTAGCCTCAAACTTCCCTAGTCTCTAGGTAGCTTCATTTCACTATTATCTCAAATAAACCAGAGATCTTGTAAAAAATGCTTTCTTCTCTCTTCCCAGTACCATACTACTTTAAGTTCAGACAGACTATATTCTATAATTCAGCAAGGATGCACTTAGAGTTTGACCTATCATAACCTACCACAGCTAGAAACTGGTATTCTAACTATATGAGGAAAAGTTGGGACTACCCTCAGGTCACAGACACTACAGCAGAGCTGACTGAGAATGATGTTCTCCTTTCTCTCTTATCTCAAGATGATCTCCTTGTCTTGAAGGGAAGAGGTAGTCTGTCTTAGGAGGTTTCAGCACACATCATGCAACAAGGAAGGTCATCTGACCCAGGGCCTAGTCCTGTGAAATCACAAGGATGTAAGACAACCAAGCTCCTTTAAAGCTGATTTAGTAACAAGGCCACATCATACCATTTCACTCTTCAACTGCACCAATTTTTGACAAATCCCTATAAAATAGACACATTCTGGATTATTATTTTTTTCATAGAGAAAATGCCATCTTTCCAAGCAAAGCAATTTTGTGACAAACCTTGGTTTGCAACACTTCATTATAAGTCTGGAGAGATTTAAGATGCCAGATTTTTAACAGCTGTGAAAAGCTATTTTTGAATTTTTTATTTTTTTTTTAATTAATGAGACTTCTCAGTTTTCATTACAAGGTTCAAAGATACTGCATGATTTTAGTTTCACAAAAAAGGAAAAGAGATCAGAGCACAGGCCCAGTGAGCTTGTATTAAGCTCTCTGAAATAGCTCTAATGTAGTTTTCTGGTAAAATACATGACATGCCAAAAAATTACATGCAGATACAAGGCCTTATAAAGGTTTTATTGACATTCATTTACACAATTTATTCACGACTGCCATTTTTAAATAATAAGGCCACCTCAGGTTCCTGCTGGTAATTTTTCATCTCACCATGTGTTGCTTCTTTCCACGGGTGACATTGATACACATTCCCACTACATATTATACTGCAGTGCTTGGGAACGTGGCTATGAAACTATTAGCCATCACTTGTGAGAAGATAAATGCAGCATTTTGCTCCTCAGAAGTTGGAACCAACCTCCGCCTCCCACCCACACCTCTTTCAGGAAACCAGAACCTTACACTAATTCCTGAATCTTCCAGTTGCATGGAAAATGTAGCATTGCAGCTATTACCAGCATGAGCTTAACCAAACCATCCCATTTCTGAAGGCTAATTAAAAAGAAGATGGGTAACGGAATGAACAAAGATGCTGGTACTTACACCATATAGCTCTGTGCGAATTCTAACAATACACCTCCTGTACCAAGTTCCTGTATCACTCTCTATTTCTATGAGTTCATCTATCTGCTTTGGAGTTTTGATTCTGTTAACCTAGAAATAAAAACAGAAGAGCAAACATTTGCATGTTCTTGAATCATTAATTGCCTGTTGAGGAGTATTGGAAAGTTTTCAGAAATTCCATAAACTGAAAATAAGCAGATATTAAACCTGTCTTTACACTAGAAATGCTTTAGAAATATAAAGGAATAGTAGCTTACTATAATGCCAAAGTTCGTTATGGATGCAACTGTATTAGAAAAGCTCTACTTTCAAAGCATGCAGGAAATCCATTTCCTCTGACTGAAACAAGCTGTTACTGTCAGGTTCTGCTAGAGTGTTGCTGTATCCCTAATGCCACAAAGGATAAAATATTATTTAAACCCTCCATTAACCACATACAGAGTTTGCTATCATGTTGTTTCTAACTTGCTATCACAACATTGTTGAATGTCTATTGATTAAAGATACAGTAGAAAATAGAAGTATTTGAAATGTCAAGAATTAATAGCTGAATAACATTTTTCTTTTTTCTTATTTCCTGTAGTGTAAGACGGGGAACTCTCTTTGTCTTTTGGATGTTGACTTTAACTATGTTTTTTAATGAAGAGAGAAAAAGTTAGGTGAAATGATCTGGAACCACACATGTTATTGCTGTTATGAGCAATCATCTACTTCAACTAAAGTGAAATGAGATAAACAGACATCAGGGAAAAATACAGAATTACCAGTGTCAGAGAATGAGATGTTGCCTACAATGCTCATTTTCACTTGCACTCTCCTGTGTAGCAGGACAAGAATGTGTTATATGGTCTTTCCAGACACAGGACCCGACGAACTTATACCATTGTATGGTTTTGGTTTTGGCTTCCGCTGTGGTCCCAGGTTCATAGCAGTATCACAAAAGGCAGTGTATTCACCCACAGTTTATTTAAAAACGATACGAATAGAGAATGGAAAGAAAATAAATAAAATGGGGAAAGCGATGGGCATATAGGGAGAGGGAAAGAGCAAGAGACTGAGCGTTCAGTGTTTAGCTGCAGTGTCTGAAGCCAGCAATAGCTCGTGTTTCTTCTTAGAATGAGGACACCACCACCCACAGATGTATCATAGTGGATTACAGGACATCAGGGAATAGCAGTATTGATGGCAAAGCTCTAGTTTTCAGCCCACTGCTTTTACAGATGTACACTGTTTAAGATGCACCAGCAGCCTCATCCCATGAACAAGAGCAAACAAAAGCCCACTAAGCAGTTTTAGCTATGACCACACTCGTTTCTGAAAGACTGCAGCTCACTAGCTTGCCAAACCATGACTATATCAAAAAGGCTGCACCCTTCACATCTTGGCTTTTCCAATAGCAATAATCCCATCTGCATCACTCCATTGATTTTAAGCTTTTTTAAACTGCTTTTATGAAACATGTTATACAAAAGACTGAGCGGAATCCTCCAAGATTATTTAAAACCTTGTACATGTTACAGGCATCCTCACTTGCCACACCTCCAGGCAGAAAGGGCATGCTTTTTGAAATCATGCTGTATAAACCAGTACCACTCTCGTAGGCTCAGGGGCAGCCTTTTGACTGTCCTGGCCACCTGACTCTTTTGGGGCTGTGGAGGTTGAGGGAAATGTATATATCCTAGGACCACTGCATGTGTCTGGAGACAAAAAGCCCCTGGCCTTGATGATTTTTTAACATAAGAAAGGTCCTATTGAATCAGGACAATGGTCCATCTGGACCATGCAAATTCAGCTGTCAGTATATGAAGAATGAAATAAAAACAATAAAGAATACCCATTTTAATGAAAATGGAACTTCTGTTTAAAAGCAATGACTAGAAATAAGCAATGCTTTAAATTTTACAAAATCAAGACATGCTGCAAAGGAAAAAGTTTGCAGAAAAAAATATTTAATACATGACAATGAAAGAGTGGAGAGAATTTTGGTTTTAAGGGTATAAAGGTTTTTTTCACTTAAGCATTTTAACCACCAGATCTAATGAATGCATATTTTAAGGACCCAGAAAGGTAAGTAAGCGTGTACATAAATATTTAACTTGGGTAGTCCCATAACAGAAAATACTATCGACTTACTACCATCTCTGTTAGAGTCACTGTGCTCAGGAGAGGCTTTCAAAAGTATTAAGAGCTACCACATCCACAGTCAGTAACTAGAATACGTCCCTTTTTGGAGTTTGTAACTCTAAACCAAACTGTTCCTCAACTGATGCCTTCTGTCTTCAAAAAGTTTGAAGATAAAATCCTCAATAATATGAGTAACAAGAATAAACATCACTTGTGAAAAAAAACTTCTAGGAAAAGATGACATCAATATAATTAGGAAAACATGTAAAAGGAAAGCACACTAAAACTATAGTAGTAATGGAGAAAAAGTTACATCAGCTGTAGAGTTAGAAAACATGTTCTCAAAGTGTATCTGATGTAACTAGTGAAGTGGTGGAAAATAGTAACATAAGTCATAGAATGGATGAAGCAATGGGGTTTAGCAGAGATATATGAATAAATAACTCAGACAAAATGCCACCATATCCAGGACTAACTTATATCTTAAAAAAGGGAGGCTAAAAGGATGTCCCAAACAAATTATGTCTAAGTTCTTTGCTTTTTGGGTTTTATAAGATGAAGTGCTGATATTGGCCAATGAGGAAACATTGATGTATTTCCTAATCATATTCATGCAAGTTGAAAATAGAGACTCCCATGTGTAACCTTCACATACAGTACAGAATTTCTAATCCTTCAACTCCTCAACAGCTTGGAATTGAGTTTTCCCAATGTTCATGGCAGAAATCGGCAAAAATCCCAAGAAAGTGGAGTTTTTTTGTTATTCATGCCCTATTCATAGCTGACCAATAAATAAAATTAGCTATAAATAAGGTGCTGAGTTCAACATGGCTCAGTGTCACATTTTAACAACTGTAGAGAGAAAGACTTGTTAGATCACAAGAACCGGAAACAAGCACGTGCTTTGTTTTCTTTTCCATGGCTGCTCTAGGATGTGATTATGATTACGTCAAACTGATGTGAGACTGTGGTTGATCCTTCTTCCCACTTTTTATGCCAGAACATTTCTGTCTTCTTCCTTGTGCCTAAACCAACACTGTAGGGGTTGTGCTATCGCACAGTCAGCCATAGCACCAACAGAGTCTGTGCTACGGCTGACTGTGCAATCACTCAACGAGTATCAGTGCTGGCAGAAGAAAACACAAAAAGTGACCAGAGGCAGGCATACTCTGTCTGAAAGCAGCTCAGATCAGCAAGAGCTGATTGTGAAATAACAGTGTTATTTCTGTACAGCGTTAGGTAAATCCCTTTACTCGTAAATGAAATCAGAAAATAAAATATTGTTAGATGGGATTAGGCGTAGATCACCAGTGTATGAATAAATGTGGGTTTAACATGACACATGTGCTAACCAGCCCTCTTTCAGGCTAAATATAGAAGTCACTGAGCTTCTTTGTGGAAAAAAGCATAAATGGAGGAAACTACATCCAAGGCAATAAACTGCAAGTCTCAGTGGAATAAAGTTATACGGTCAGATGGTCATTCCTCGAGACTGCCTACAAATGTAGGATCTTTAAGAGGATTTTGTAATTGAGTTATATGTATTAGAGTAAGAAGAAAGCCTCTAGAAGAGGAAAAACATCCCACACATGGCTCTGAGAGGGAGCAGAGTGCCAGCATTCCCATGGCACAGCACAAGCTGGGAAGGCAGACTGGATTTCAAAGCAAGAAAAGGCCTTCTGCTGTTTGGTCCTATCCAGGACCTTCTGCATCCAGGAAGACAAAATTATTGTATATATATTTCATAAATAAGGAAGATACCATAGAAAATTCCCACATCTGAATCACCAATTTATCCTCCAGATAGAAACAACACATCATCATCTTGACTATGGCCTTATCATTAGACCTTAGTCAACAAGATGCAGCTGGTCTTCCAAGATATTTTGGGAAAATTAAATGTTCAAAATTACTATTTCACAGAAGTCAAAGTGAATTAAAAAAAAATATTCTTTTAACTGATAAAAATGAAAAAACATAATTTCAAAAGCATTAAAGACACAATACCCAACTAATTTGGACTTCTGTGTGCCTACTGTTATTATTTAGGGTGAAGTAAACTTACTAAATGAAACACAGATGGAGTCTATCAAATATCTTGGTACACCAGAGAAAATGATCGTACTGTACATTCATACGCTCAAGAATATGCTGGCCAAAGGGTAATATCTTAACATCTGCTGTATATATAACAATTGCAGTAGGAATTATGTTGTTATATTGAGGTATTTAGAGTGCAAATGATTGGCTTTGTCATGCGAAGTGCTAATATTGATTGCTTAAGCCCTCCAAGACCTTGCCAGCCAGCAAGCTCGCTAATGTGCTAAGTGATTAGCTTTAAAACCAATACTTACTGTGAAGACTTTCTCAGGCTGACCACGAGCTCGCATGTTTGTGTCATGAATTTGCTTTAGTATCATCCAAGCTTCATCATGTTTTCCAACCTAAACATTTGATCAAAACATTTAAACAAAAGTACAGATGAAGGTATTTACTATAGTCACTGATCAATCTTAATGCCTCCTATATAGAGGTCATGATGTTAACACAGAAATAATTTTGACTAGAATTTAAAAACTGTATGAAAAATTATACCTCCAGCAGGAACCGTGGGCTTTCTGGCATAAAGGTGAGGGCTACCACAGACGACACACAGGGCAGTGCACAAACGATCACAAATACTCGCCAGCTGTGGAACTGGTAGGCAGAGCCCATGCTAAAACTCCATCCTATGAAAGCAGAAATTCATAAAATGTAGAGAAATAAGGAGTATTGTATGTGGCAGTCTGCAACTTCTTGGAGATGTGAAATGATACCTGTATTTAAATGAAGCCTGATTGATCTCTTATATTTCCACAAATAGAAATGATTTCACAAATAATCTTACACTATGAATTCCAGCCTCTTGTATGTGACCAGACATGATGGAAAATGGCTATATTTTGAAGGGTGGGAGACTTCCTTACATAGGGATGAAGAAACCTCTGACAACCCTCCTAGCAAAATCTGCTTGAAGGTAGTTGGGTTAACCAGAGACACAATCACCATACAAAAGAATAGATATACCAAGAAATAGTTTTCTACAAAGAGTGGAAAAAGGAAGAATAAAAAATCTACATGCAGATTACGTAGTTTAAGGAATTTTAGAGCCTTCCATATTAATTATTAACTTTTTCTAAAAAGAGTTAATTTCAATAATCTTAATAAGAGTCTCCTAATATAATACAGTGCAACACATAAGGTATTTACAGTACCTAACTTCTGTTTCCATCTTGTTCCAGAGCACTATACTACTTCTTAAATTTTGTTAAATGTAAACTGACACTCATCCCTCTTGCCTCATAACTAGATGTGCAGGAAAAAATACTCAGTATTTGAAATTCTATCTGAGATGAGCAATCTTAGCACTGAACTAGAGATTATGATTTATTTATTATTATTTCAAGAGATTAAGAAAAAAGAACAACAGGAAAAGAACTCTTCTCCTCTGAAAAATTGATCTTGAGTACATATGAGTGCTGACATGCTAATAACTGTTAAAAAATACTGAGAAGAAAACAAACGGAAATACTGAAAAACCAGTAAAACCAGTTCAGCTTTTTAATAAAATCTCTGATTGGTATGTTATGACTGGAGTATGGAGATGCTAGAATTGTAAGAAACTTAAGAGTTTCTCTGAAGAAAGAGAAAAATATTATTTGGGTAACTATCTGGCCTGTCAGTCTGGCTTCAATACAGCAGAAATCTTCAAGTAAAATTTTCAAGGATAACTTATTAAAAGGTGAATGGAAGATGAGAATAATGATAAAGGACAAAGGAGGTTACTGGAAGAAAATGGAATCCTGGCTAATGAAAGATCTGACACCGGATTAATCTGATATATTTCTTTGCTAACTGATTTTTCTAGACAAAAGGCATTGTTAATTAAATCTGTCTGGATGTCAGCAAACAACTGGCAAAGCACGTTACCAAATGGCCTATTAAATAGTTTTTTGAAGGAGGTATTTATCTCTTAAATGTATAGTGTATTTTTGAATTTAAAGATTTCATGCTGTGGATCATAAATACATTCTTGGAAAAAAAAAATTATTTTCATATTAAAGTACTTACACATTACCATATGAAAAATACCCATGATTTACATTTGCCCTTTATCAACAGCTCAGTGAAACATTTTGATCTTCAAACTTGGGAATTCGTCTTTTCTGGTCTCCTACAAACTTTCTGTGTTTCTGAAATGATACCAGCTTGCCCCACAGCCTGAGATAGCCCTGTCGTCTTTACCCCAGGAAGAGAGAGGAAAAAACAATGACAGTGTTGGCAATGATCTTGGAATGCCATTTTACTTTTTTTTTTTAAGTAAGGCTACAGATAAACATACTTTCCCCCTCTAAAGTTCACTCCAACAAAAATAGGCTTTCTAAAATTTAATGTTAAATTTTATTCCAAAATAGAATTTGGGATGAAAACTTAAGATTAAAAAGTTGCAAACAAGAAAGGATGTAAAAATTTATTAACATTTAAATTTTACTGATATTTTGAAAACATCAACTTTTGATCTTATGGAATTTCAAATCTTAAATAATATATGCATACTTTACATCTCAATTGGGAAGGGAAGGCAATAAAGCTTTACAGTGAGTTAAAGAGGCAATTAGAAACCATACCTGTGGTTTGGGTATCATGTACACATTCTATTGTAATCACTAGAATCATATTCTTCATTATATATTTTAAAATACAGTACAAAATCACCTGATATAGAAGTCACAAAATTATTTCCTTTTGCTTAAGTTAGTGTTTTGGTCAGAGCAGTGAGCTGATCTGACTCTCTGGGCATCTGTGCAACTGCTAGTGCCATGGGGAAGGCTGCCCATGTCGGGGTTTTCATCTTTCAGAACAGCACAGTCAAGGTACTGGCTCTTGTTGCCACCAGAAACTGTCCCAGAAATGCTCAGAGCCACGGGTGTATTGAGACAATCTGCCTTTCACCGCTGTGACTTGTGTTTTATGAGACTGAGCTGCACAAAGGGCACTTCTGTGGTAACTTAACTCAACTTGGCTTTATACCTGTTATAAAACAACAGCAACATCTTCTGTTCTGTAGCCAGTCCTGAAAAAGTCTGGTGATAATTGATTTTAAGGCATCATTTATTAACGTAAGTGAACCATACTATGCTTAATTAAAAGCAATGAGTGCCCCCTTCATCCTGCTGTCGTCCTGACAACCTACAAAACATCTTTTCTGCTTCTCAAAATGTCTGAACTGTATGTCAAGTGAAAAATTCATCTTGGTTTTTATTGTTCTTATTCTGTCTTTTTCTCTGTGCAGTGTATTAGTTGCTGCAATTTATCTTGTGATTTAACATATCTGCTGAATTAATGATAATAGTGAATGTCAGGATTATAACAAGCAATTGGTAGAAAAAAAGCCAGCTGCAACACATCTTTCTTGAGACTGCTCTCCTGTTTATTTCAGCACCACCCCCAGATCAGCAAAACAAACATGTATTTTAAATGCAGAGCAAGTTTAAATTTATTCTTACGTTTAACACATCCCATTTTCCTAGGTCATGAGCTAATCTGGAAAACGGAGCCATTAGAGTAGCTCTGAATTTGGCTCACAAAGTGGCTTTCATTCCCATTGTACGTGAGTCTTGAAACCAAATGGAGGTACGTTTTTGGCTATAACTCCATTTGCTTCTCCCTTCCCTGATGTACAAGACAATAGCAAAGACAGAGCAGCTCCACGCGGCTGTGCCCAGAGCTAAACCACTGCTGCCTGGCTACGCCATATTCGAGAATCATTAATCTTCAAAACGGTGGCAAGGCCCAATGTTTTATGAATTGCAAAACATTTGCCCCAAGTGCATGTTGGGAATGGTGTGCTGTAAAGCAACAAAAAAATCTGCAAGGACTGAATCTGCAGCTGCTGCAGCAACCTTTGTGCTGAATACCACCCTCCCACCGTACCAACTGCTGGAAAAGTCTAAGTGAATCACAGACATTGCAATTACTGATTACAGAAACACAGCAGCATGCAGCAGAGCAAAATCAAAATGTATAAGATGCTAATCTATATCCAATTGCCAATTTATCTTTTGAATTGTGTCAACAAAATCTTCCCTCCCAACACAGCATTTCATCTGCTCCATGATATTGATAAATTAAAAGGATATTATAAACAAGTTCTTGCTCCAAAGGAGAGAAAGGAGCATTTCTGTCATAGACTTTTTGAATAAATATAGAGGAAAACCTGTCCATATCATGTTGAATTGTATAAATGTGTATTAGCTGATAAACAGCAGGTAACTTGAAGTACAAGGACCATCTTTTATAGTGCCTAGGTTACTACAGAGCAGACTAGTGGGGATGATTTGCTTAACTTTCCAAAATGGGGGCTGAAAGGGAATGTGACAGGTCTCTACAAACTCGTAAGTGATACGAGTGCAGTGTGGGCAATGAAAAATATGGATGCTACAGGCCCTGCATAAAGGGCCTGTTGGCAAGGGGGAGGTTCTAAATACCAGAGATATACCGTTGTGAAATACCTTTATACGAGACTAATGTAGGTAAAAAAAACCCCAAGCAAATATATGGGGTTTATGTCATGGTTAGCTAAAGACTGACCATTCTTGATAATTTTTCTTAGTCAATCAGTAGGAATCAGAGGAACTAGGTTCATGGTAGTGACAGGAATTGTCAAAAGCCAAGTTTGCATAAACTTAAGTCTTTTGGTAGATCAAAGGAAGGAGCAGATACAAGCATATTCCTAAAATTAGGGATGGAGGATAAAGACAGCCAAGGAATCTAGAGGAATCCTTTCTATGATTTTATATATTTTCTTATTTCTCTTTTACCACAGAATCTTTGGTGAGATCTCAGCTTTCTAGCCTCAATTTTTAATGTTGTAAATTTGAAAAATGTGCAGTAACTAAGTTATGTGATTGCTGTAAATCCTCACGTGGGGGCACTGTTGTTGCACGTAATACAAATAAGTTTAAATCGCAGAAAGACTTCTACAATTAAGCAGTGTTTTTTGAGGGTTCACCAAATCTAAACTGAATCAAACTTATAAGGTGGACTGGAAATACTTTGCAGCTGGCAGCACCAAAACACATTATTATTGCACTTACATGTAGTCTGTCATGGCATTACTTTGAGTGAGATCTAGTATTTGAGCCCATATATTTTAGTGGTACTGATTACAATAATGTTAAACCATCTCTAAAATTGAAATAAAATTTAAAAAAAGTTCAGGTAAGTTATATAGCTGAGGAGGCTTAGTTAGACACTTTTACAAGACTGAGTGAAATATGTGTTTTCTAACAAATGCAGAAATTCCTCAGAAGTTCCTCAGGAGTTGGTATTGTGACCAGTGCTATTTAACGTCTTTGTTGGAGATATGGACAGTGGGACAGAGTGCACCCTCAGCAAGTTTGCTGACGACACCAAGCTGTGTGGCGTGGTCTACATGCTGGAGGGAAGGGATGCCATCCAGAGGGACACGGACAGGCTTGAGAGGTGGGCCCATGCAAACCTCATGTAGTTCAACCAAGCCAAGTGCAGGGTCCTGCACCTGGGACAGGGCAATCCCAGGCACAAATACAAGTTGGGCAGACAATGGCTGGAGAACAGCCCTGAGGAGAAGGACCTTGGAGTGCTCATGGATGAGAAGCTCAACGTGAACCGGCAGTGTGCACTGACAGCCCAGTGCATCCTGGGCTGC